AAGTGGATCCACTTTCTCGCTGCAAAATAAGCACGTTGGGTTGTCTCTGTGGGAAACATGCAATTGGGCCTTTTGGCCCGTGCTTGCCTGGGGCTGCTGCCTTTTCTCTGTGCATGTGCTGGGAACAGAATTCGGTGGAGAATTTGTTCTCCCTCTGTTTGCTGCAAACTCTCTCAGAAAATAGGCTTGCTTGCCCTAGAGCACCGGAAATCAGGGGCGCTGGGAGTTGGGACAGCCGTTTCAGGTTAGAGGTGAGGAAGCCAAGGCCGTGAGTGAGCCAGGGACACTGAGTGCCAGGCAGGGCCAGCGTGGGGCCGCCTGTCCTCCCACCCACTCTTCCGTCGGTCATTGTAGAGAATGCATGAGACCACAGACGATGCAGAAGGGGACAGTGGAACACGGGCGAGCTGGGCTAAAATCCAAGATCGCGTATGCTCGGTCTCCCCCATCAACTGGGAGGGGAGAGCTGAGACCGAGCTGGACAAAGTCAGGGCGAACCTGAGTTTTTAATTTAGTGTCATCTTACCGTGATGTGCTGCCTGTCCCTTTTCCCTCAGGGTAGTTGCGCACCTAAGTCACCTCCCCCTTGACGGCACTCGCGTCGCGTGGAAACAAGGCCTCTGAGACTCCAGCAAGAGAGAGGCTCAGCGAACGCAGTGTCTGTCGCTGGTCTCCCGGTGTAGGCGAGGGGGATAAGACAAAAGCCAAACCCACTGGGACCTCCGAATCCACGGCGACGAACGTGAGCAGCGATCCATCGGCATGACCTCAGGGAGGGGCAAGGCGCCGGTGGGGATCCCAGCCGCCCCCGCGCTGCACCGGGGAAAGCAGCGAGGCCCTCGCGCGCCGCTGCGGGAGCCGGGACCGGAATGGACCCTTGTCCCCTGAGTCTGGGTGCTGGGTGGACAGCGGACGGGATCTGATCACAGTGAGGGCGCTTTTGGACGCGAACGACAGACCACCTGACCAAATCGACTTAGACAGCGAGCGTCGTCCCCTCGCTGGTCAGGGAAGAGCAAGGCCAGGCACAGAATGCGCGCGGGTCTCTGGTCTACTTGTCCCGCTGCGGCCTGGTGTCACGGCCTCCCTACAAGCTGATAGTCAGCATCCGCCAGCGGGGACACTACTCCCTGAAGGGTGCAGTCATTCACGGGACAGATGTGACGGTCCACGTCCAGATCCCACCCGGGAGCCCTCTCTGTGCGGCCTGTACGTCTCTGCATACGCTTGACAGAGGACTATCTGAAGGAAATAAAGTTGATTGTATGGAAGGGCCATTTCTGCGGGCCACTAATGACTGTAACAGGAGAGAACCAGCCCTCGGAGAAGAGCCGAGTACCTGCCTGTGGGCCTTCATTGAACGTAATTTCCGCGCACGTCTCTGCAAACACAATGCTTTATTAGCACATGCCAAGCAAAGGGGTCTACCCTAGTTTCCTTTTAGGTTTTCACTGTGGAGAGACTATGTGAATGAGATCATGAACCCCCCTGGGGGAAATCGCCTAACGATAGAAATTGTCTTCTCTGCATTCAGCCCGAGATTAATATCTTGAGACGTTATGAGGCTGTTGAGAAAAGTGAAAAAGATTAGGTAGAAGGCCAGGGGCTCGTGGGTGTGGAGAGGGTGCTGGAGGCGTGCCTGCGTCCTCGGGTGGGCTTTCAAAGAGCTCCCTCCCACAATACCCCCAGCTCCGCCCTGGGCCCTTGTTCCCGCACCTTCAGAATAACAGACTGGGCTACATAATCGTTTTTCTTTGTTAATTGTGGTGAACTTCACATAACATAAAATGAACCCTTTTACAGTGCACAATTCAGTGTCATTTAGTACACTCACAATTATGCAACCGTCACCTCTGTCTAATAGTTCCAGAACATTTTATCGTCACCAAAGGAGACCCCCTACCCATTAAGCTGGATTAATGTAATCTCTTCAGAACCCTCTCGATTACATAATTCTTTTGCTCCAAAATAGGGAAGTGTCTCACTCAGCTCTGTAACAATACCCCGGAGGCTGCAGAGATGCGAGGATTGCCCCATTTGTGTAGAACATCTCAATATTTGTCCCTGACGAACGCGCTGGGTTGCTAGGGCAGATGATTCCTTGGTCAATCACTATACAGCCCAGCGGTGCTGGAAATTTCCATGGCTGGCCCTCTGGCCGTGGAGACCCGGAGCTGATCTGCACCCATATCTTTGGCTCTAGAACAAGGCACGGGGTTTACATTACGAGTTTCTTGTCCCCTTCTGGAAAGTCACCGTCCCCTTGTCTTCACCAGACAAAGGTCCTGCTGTTCCATGACAGCCGATTCCTGAACCGAGGGGCATTTTTGTGGCCGCCCCCCGGGCGGGATGAGCCTATCCTGTCACCCCCATCAGCGACAGGGTGAGGCGGCAAGGTCGTGGTCTGGCATAAGGAGCCTTCGCTCGGGACAATGGCCGGCCCGCCTCTCTGGATCTCAGCTGTCACCCCCCACCGCCCCCCGTGGAAGGACAGGTGGCGATTGCGGAGTTCCAATGTGCAGGCTCTGAGATCCTTGGTCTGGGGTCCAACCCAAGAGGGCTTTGAGCCGCCTCACTTGGCCCCCCACCACCCCCGCCATGAGGGGACTCAGTGGACTCCTTCCAGCTCCCTCAGGCCCGGCGTGGAAGCTGCCCGACTCTGCAGGAATTCCAAGTGCCAGCGTTGATGGCCTTGGACCATCTGTTCACCATCTGTGAGTGTCCGCTTTCCCGTCAGCCACCAGGTAACGAAGAAACGCCCGTGAGTGTCACAAACCTCCTCTGTGAGACCCCTTGCAAGCTCAAGGCTCTGTTCTCCATCACGGTCCCAGAACACAGCCGTTCCCCACCCCCACGCCTCACCGGCCCACGCCTGTGAGGTCTCTGAGGGCCCCGCCCCGGGCCCCGGGCTGCCTCCCCGACTGCCCGGTTCCTACGGCAGTTAGAAGCCAGGCGGTGACTCACCGCTCCTCTGTTCCGACTGAACTTGTGTTTCTGTCCTGGGAGACTCAGGACATTAACACCTTGAATTTACGGCTAGTGCTTAGAACTGCTAATGAGTTCTGGTTTCACGTTTTTGTTTTCAATCTACGGATTCTTGGAATCAAACCTATTACAGCTTTATCAGCCAAACGAACGCTGGACCCTTTTGGGGAGGTGAACCAAACCCTGGTGTGAATGTGTCTTTTTTTTTTTTTTTTTAAAATCCTTACCCAAGGAAGGCTATGTTTATTGATTTTAAAGAGAGGCGGGGTGGGGGGAGAGAGACAGAGAGAGAGGAACATCGATGTAGGAGAGAACCATCCGTCAGTAGCCTCCCGTACGCGCCCTGACCTGGGATCGAACCCACAACCTTTCGGTGCACAGAACAACGCTCCAAACAACTGAGCCACCCAGCCAGAGCTGCCTTTATAGCCGTGTGTTGGGCTGGGTAATGTCACTGATGTCACCTGCTAAGAGGGTCCCTCAGCAACGCAGCGTTTGTACATCATGGTTGAATTTAGGCAGGACACACTTGTATGTGGCTAACGCGGCCGCTGGTGATGAATTCTCTGGACCTCAATGGGAAATAATTTACAGCTAAACAGAACAGCTCACACTGTACTGATATTGAAAGAGCCCATTGGTTGAATGAAAATCTGGATAAGTGGACCGTGGCCATGGGCGGCTCGTTTTGGCAGAAGGCGGTAGCGCGCGCACACAACGTTGCAGTGAGAAAGTAGCCCTCCCGGCAGCCCTGCGAACGCTCTTGGCCTGCAGCTGCCATTCCCAGTGCCTTCTGCCTGTCCCCGGCTCTCAGACGCCGCCACCAGCTTATCAGAGGCGAGTCCCCACCCCACCTCAGCAGGGTGGTTGTGGGGAGTTGGGGCCTGGCCCCCTCCTCCTGACTTCTCACCCAGTTCTCCCCAGACACCAGCAGCCGCTCCACGGTTCGTTAAATTGGACTGAAGCTCTGCAGGCTTGCAAAGCACATTTTTTGAAAGAACTGTTATGAAGGTCTTGTTGCTCAAGGGCAATCTAGCCCAAAGGCCAAGCCCCTCCCTGCTCTGTTCCCCAGATGCTTGGGCTTGCAAGGGTAACACGAAGTGAGAGTCGGCACCAGGAATAAGCACACCCAGCCCAGAACGACTTGGAGAGGACACAGAAAGTTCCGGAAGAGGCAAAAGCATTTCACAAGGGCTCCAGAGCCCGGCGTGCTTATCCTCTAACCCCCCCCCCCGACACCCACTGGTTGGAGAGCTGGGAGCAGCTGCTCCATCTCTCTGTGCCTCAGTTTCCTTGTCTGTGCCTAGAGGGGGTTCATGCCACCTCAGAGGCCGGTCAGGCGTCAGCTGATGCAAAGCACTTTCGGACAATGTTCACTTTCCAGTCATTCCATGCCTACTGTGTGCCGGGCACTGTGCCTGCAGAGAATGAACAAGACAGGCAGAAATCTCTGCCCTTGTACTCAGGGTGGGGTGCACAGCGAGCACTCTGCAGGGTTATTGGCTCCCAGGTACACCAGACCTTTGCCAGTAAGTACCCATTCACCAGCACTTGGGCACATCCTTCCCTGGGGCCTGTCACCATGGGCTGACACCTTCCAGTGTGATGTCCCGCCAGCCAGCTGCCACCGGTACACACAATGTGCGGGCACCTTGGGTCCCAGACGCGCTCGAAGTCCAGGAGCTGCTCCCGCCAGCCGGGGCCCAGCCCCTCCCACCTGTCAATGAAGGGCCGTGGGCTTTGCATCAGCAGTGAACTGGGGCAAAGTTTAGTCAACCAAAAGTTGTGTAAGGACCTGCTGCAGCCGGCCAAGGGGTTGGAGACCTCCCAGAGCCCGTTCACAGCTAGCTGTTCAATGATTATCTCCCCGGGGTTTATTGTGGGGAGCCGGGCCAGAGCATGGCCGGCCGTGGCCACGATCCAGCAGCGCGCCCCTGACGTCAGGGGCGAGCCTCCTGGGTGGGGCCCCGGGGCGGGCCTCTCTGCTCCGGGGCACATAAAGCCAGGTGGCTCTGCCGCCAGATGCCAGACGCGGCCTTCCCACTGCGAAAGCACGCTGACCAGCGGGAAGAACCTGAAAGCGAGCCTTGGCTCTGTGATCGAGTTCGCCCAGCGAGAAGGACGGTAGGTCGAGCTTCTGCATTCACATTGCTAAGCATCCCCGAGCTAACACGAGCCTGCGTCCTTTTCCCCTTCCAGCTATGACCACTCTTCCTTCCAGCCGCAACACACTTCCAGTCTGGAGGTGGGCGGCCCAAGCAAGGCATGCGGCGCCTGTCGGAGACGTTGCTTCTTGTTTACGCTCAGGAAGCCTGTGCTTTCTATTTCAGGGAACCTTGGTGTCCGGGACCCTCAGCACAGCTCTGCAGAGATGCCTCCTCAGCTCCAAAATGGCCTCAACTTCTCAGCCAAGGTCGTCCAGGGCACCCTGGACAGCCTGCCCCAGGCCGTGCGGGAGTTCGTGGAGAGCAGCGCCCAGCTGTGCCAGCCGGACCACATCCACATCTGCGATGGCTCTGAGGAGGAGAACCGGCGGCTGCTGCACCAGATGGAGGAGGAGGGCACCATCAAGAGGCTGAAGAAGTACGACAACTGGTGAGTGTAGCCTGCAGCCTGCAGCCCCCACCCCCGCCCCGCCCACGGGGGGCTGGGGGAAGAGATGGATGAAGCTCTCTGAGCGGGGAGGGGCCGGAGGCCCTCGAGGAACTATATAGTGGTCAGAACCAGATAGACCTTAATTTAATAACATTTGTAGAGCCACCTCTTCAACGAGACAGCATATACAAGCAAACGCTTGTTGCCAACTAGATCCTGGATAAACATGAAAGCCAGACCGTCCCTGTCCTCACAGACCAGTGCACGGTCTCGTGAACGTCTTCCTGACCACGTCTCAGCTGGCATGGCTGTCCTCACCTGTAGAGCATCGTCAGTGTGCTCGCACCTGCTAGGCGTGGGAAGGACATGACAATGAACAAACGGGTCCATTTCTAAACGCAGCTTGGCTGAGGGGACCCAGCACCGGGTGTATTCAAAACAGCTGCACTTCCCTCTCTGATCCTAAGCTGTGTGCTTTTTATTTTTGCAGCTGGTTGGCTCTCACTGATCCCAGGGACGTGGCCAGAATTGAGAGCAAGACGGTCATCATCACCCAAGAGCAAAGAGACACAGTGCCCATCCCTCCAAATGGCCCCAGCCAGCTGGGCCGCTGGATGTCCGAGGAGGACTTTGAGAAAGCATTCAATGCCCGGTTTCCAGGGTGCATGAAAGGTAAACCGAACACTTACTTGATTGGGCAAAATATCCGCAAGCCTTTTATTGTTAGGTCTGTCCTCACGGGTATTGCCACAGTAAGGGAAAGCCGGTCACATGGCCTCAGACGTCTTCAAGCTCTGTTCATGAAACTGGCAACGTACTGACAATGTACATCTCAGTTTTAGATTCACAATCTGTCTCCTGGGGACAGGAAAACTATTTCCACGCGGGCAGAAGCCGACGTGCACATTTAGAAACACTTTTTTTTTTTTTGCCGTTCTGTCCGCTCTCCGGCGGACTCCTGCCACCCGGCGGGCCGGGGGCACGCAGGGCGAGATGCTATTCGTAGAAAGCAGTGTTGGTCGCTGTGAGCCCAGGGCCCTTTCTCACCAGCCCCCCCCCCCCCCGACTGACCCCGCAGGTCGCACCATGTACGTCATCCCGTTCAGCATGGGGCCCCTGGGCTCTCCCCTGTCGAAGATCGGCATCGAGCTGACGGACTCGCCCTACGTGGTGGCCAGCATGCGCATCATGACGCGGATGGGGACGCCTGTCCTGGAGGCGCTGGGGGACGGGGAATTTGTCAAGTGCCTCCATTCCGTGGGCTGCCCTTTGCCTTTGAAAAGTAAGCACGCGATTTCAACCGCCAAAGCTAGAATTTTTAAAAGCCAGCGGAGCCTTGAACCCCGGGCCCGTGCTCCGGGGACCTCCGGCGAGTGGCGCTGTGCTAACCGGGGCTGTGTCTTCCCTGGCAGAGCCTTTGGTGAACAACTGGGCCTGCAACCCAGAGCTGACGCTCATCGCCCACCTGCCCGACCGCCGGGAAATTATCTCCTTTGGGAGCGGGTACGGCGGGAACTCGCTTCTCGGGAAGAAGTGCTTTGCCCTCAGGATGGCCAGCCGGCTGGCCAAGGAGGAGGGGTGGCTGGCCGAGCACATGCTGGTAAGAGGCAGAGAACTCTGAGTGTGCGGGGCTGGGGGCCGGGGCGGGGGCTGGCAAAGGCCTAGGGCATTCCAGCGCCCATCAGCCAGAGGACAATTTGGAAATCCCACCCATGATGATGAGTGTGCTCGTGGGTGCCCCTTTGGAAGGACTTCAAACACAACCGGGCCCAGAGAGAGCCTTTGGGTGTCATCCAGAATATTTCTTTTGATATCTGAAGAAATAGATGTGGGGTCCCCGCCTTTCGGGGCTTCGATGCACAGCCTGAGGCTGAAGCAGGAAGGGAGGAAGAGCTCACGGAGGGATCTTGCCTCTGCAGATCCTGGGCATAACCAACCCCAAGGGCCAGAAGAAGTACTTCGCGGCCGCCTTCCCCAGCGCCTGCGGGAAGACCAACCTGGCCATGATGAACCCCAGCCTGCCGGGCTGGAAAATAGAGTGCGTTGGTGACGATATCGCCTGGATGAAGTTCGACCAGCAAGGTGACTCTCAGAGGCCCCTCGGTGGCCGACAGTAGCTGGATCTCAGGGAATTTCTGTCTTTTGGCAAACATGCCTAGTTCCCCTAAGTTCACACTGTTTGGATTTTTTAAAATGTTGTTATTTTGGGTCTTGGGAAGTTTTAGAAATAGGTATTCTACGGAAGCCGTCTTTCCTCTACTATCGAATTGGGATTGAAGTGGGACCCCCTGTGGCTGTTTGTTTATATGATACACAGGTTAAAGTAGTGTTGGTTGAAAAGTGATGAGGAGAAAGAGTTGTAAATACAATTGCTTGGATGAGTAAAGAGAGATCTATTCTAAGTAGGAGGGAATAAAAGGTTTGAGAATTTGGGAGAAAAGGGAGCCCAGAGGGACTCGGGGACACTCTTTGCTCGGTGCTCATGTCTGCTTCTCGGGTTTAAAACTCTCCAGGCAACTTGAGGGCTATCAACCCAGAAAATGGGTTTTTCGGGGTGGCTCCTGGGACCTCTGTGAAGACTAACCCCAACGCCATCAAGACCATCCAGAAGAACACCATCTTCACCAACGTGGCCCAGACCAGCGACGGGGGCGCTTACTGGGAGGGCATCGACCAGCCGCTGGCTGCCGGCGTCCGGCTCACCTCCTGGAAGAACAAGGAGTGGACCCCCGAGGATGGTGAGCCCCTCCCCCGGAGGCCCCGCTGCCCCAGCCCGTGGGTGCCCCGTGTTTGGGCTGACGCTCAGGGGCGTCTCCTCTCTGCCTGTTGTAGGAGAACCTTGCGCCCACCCCAACTCGCGGTTCTGCACCCCCGCCAGCCAGTGCCCCATCATCGACCCGGCCTGGGAGGACCCAGAGGGGGTGCCCATTGAGGCCATCATCTTTGGGGGGCGCCGACCTGCTGGTGAGTCCCCCCCTTACCCAGGCTGGGAGGGCCTGTGAAATCGCTCCTTTTCTGTGACCTTGCAGTGGGTGGGGGCGGTGCCAGAGGCCAAGCTTCCTTTCCAAGCATCCAGCCCGATTGGCGAGCGCGGGTGGATTGCCGAAGCTCCCCTTCAGGCCTCCGAGAGCCATTCTGAAGCCTTGGTCCAAAGTAGCTTTATCCATTGTCCTGGCTACATGGCCGCGGTGGCGTCACGGATGGGTTTTGGCCCTTTGGCGCTGGGAATGCAGAATCAGTGCAGTTAGAAAGATGCTGTTCTGCGGGGTCTTTCCGTTTTGTGAGATGGCATTGCCGACCGAAGGGTCGGAGTGTCAGAGCCTTTCGGGAACATTTCTTCTTTCCTGTTAAGGTGTCCCTCTCGTCTACGAAGCTCTCAGCTGGCAGCATGGAGTGTTTGTAGGGGCGGCCATGAGATCCGAGGCCACGGCAGCCGCTGAGCACAAAGGTGAGCCCAAGTCAGGTCCACAACCACAAAGAACAGTGGTTGGCACGCACTCTGTCTGTCTCTACGTCTTTCTGTCTGCTTCTGTTTGTCCCTGAATCTCTCTCGCTGTCCTATGAGAGCATGATTTACCAACAGGGCCCCCTCTCTGTTGGCAGGCAAAGTCATCATGCACGACCCCTTTGCCATGCGGCCCTTCTTTGGCTACAACTTCGGCAAATACCTGGCCCACTGGCTCAGCATGGCCCAGCGGCCTGCAGCCAAGCTGCCCAAGATCTTCCATGTCAACTGGTTCCGGAAGGACAAGGAAGGCAAGTTCCTATGGCCCGGGTTTGGAGAGAACGCCCGGGTGCTGGAGTGGATGTTCAACCGGATCAATGGGGAAGGCGGAGCCGACCTCACACCCATTGGCTACATCCCCAAGGAGGATGCGCTGAATCTGAAAGGCCTGAAAGACATCAACATGAAGGAGCTCTTCGACATCTCCAAGGAGTTCTGGGAGAAGGAGGTGGAAGACATCCAGACGTACCTGGAGGAGCAAGTGAACGCCGACCTCCCCTACGAAATCGAGAGGGAGATCCTGGCCCTGAAGCAGAGAGTCAGCCAGATGTAATCGGGCCCAGAGCCCCACCCCTTCGCACCCCGGGAGATGGACTGGGAGCCGGAGAGAGGGGGGTTTCCGGAACCGACACCACCTGCCACACCGCAATGACCAACCGATGAGCAGATCTGAAAGGCACACTTTAATCGTTCAGTTAAGACCACAGGATGCAAGCTAGTAGCTCACGAGATGGGGAAGGGAATCTTAGCATGTCTCCAAAATTCACGATTCCTTGCACATGTGTTCAATCTGAAAAGCACTCAGGCATTTCGTCCGTTTCCACTGTAGCTATGTGAGCGGTAATGTACAGAAAAAAGTACTTGAGCTGTACAGACGAGTGTGTGTGTGGACTGTGTGTGTGTGTGTGTTTATGTATTGTTGTCTAAAATATATTTAATACCTTTGGAAAAATCTCGGGCAAGATTACTTACTAGTTGTTGCTGGAAATGTCGCTTTAGTATTAATGTGTGTGTTTAAATTATTTTTGTATACCGTTGTTCCTTACCTTTGCATAATTTCAACTTTTCCCTTTACACTTCTTAGAAAATTACAAAATAAACTTTTATAGAAAGATGGATTTGTTCGCGTGGTTTTTAAGTACTTGGACCGCCAAGAGGGGAGGGCTGGTCAAGGAAACAGCTTGTGATTCGAATCCCCTCAAAAGAACGTGGGGCGTCAGGGGGGATGGGGGGACGGAGGGAGCAGAAGGTGTCTGCTGGGGACGTGTGAGCAGAGTGTCACCCGCAGGGCTCACAGCACGCCCCTGCGGCTTTCCTGGATCAGCCACGAGTTAGAGTCGAGAAACCTGTAAAGGCAGGTCTTGTGTAGCCGAAACGGGAAAGGGTAAAATGTGCTTTTGGACAAAAACTTGGGTCTGGGCATTGGGCTCCGCAAGGATGAGACTGTAGCCAGTTTCGCAGGCCTTTGTCTGCAGACTGTCCTGAGCGACACTTTTCTTAGTGTCGTCCCCGGGGCGGAGGGCAGAGAGACAAGTGTCCTCCGGAAAGGACAGCCAAGGGGGCCTCCCAGGCCTGGGTGTTAATGGAGCGCCTTCTGGAGACAGAGCCCCACGTCAACAGGGGGCTGGCCGAGCGCTGCCCCTGGCGTCGGCCTGAAGCCCCAGCCCAGCCGCTCGGCTCGCAGCGTTTACTGGGTGTCGCGGATAATCCGGACGAGCCACCGGCCTGACCCGGAGAAGCACGACTTGCTCAGGTGGTTCCCTTTCTGGTCCTGAGCCGTTCCATGGCTCCACTCCTCCCCTGGGCTTCCTGTCTGACTCCCTGTCACAAACCCGCACCTGGACTTCCTGTCACACACCTGGGCTTCCTCTCACAAACCCGCTCCTCCCCGCAGGCTGCCTTGTGCCCTGCAGCGCCTCCACAAGGAGGAGGAGTGGAGGCCACCCCGATTCTATCGATGGGGAGATGGAGGCCAGGTGGTAGCAGCCAGAGTTTCCTTTCCTTTTAGGGAGCTGGGAGCAGGCCTGCTCTCCTGACGCTGTCGTGTGCTGACACCCAAACCCTTGGGAGTGGCGGGGGGAGGGCGCTGAATGGGATTCCAAGCGATTCATTTACATCTGTGGCTTTCATTCTGGTTTGTGTTCCTCCGCACAAGCCTTGCTCTGACTCCAACACCGAACGTCTCAGGGACACGGAACAGAAGGCAGCCCGCCTGGGGCCGAGCAGGGGCGTGGGGACCCAGGCCGCCTGGTTTCCACTTCTCCAGGGCCTGGTGGCTTCTGAGGTGGTTCCCCAGACCCTGTGAGGGCTCAGGACAGACCTGGGCGCCGCTGTGGAAGTGCCCACCCCGGGCACGGAGTCCTAGCGCAGCCCTCAGCAGGCGTTACCCTTTGTGTAAATCCGGCCGTTTTGGAGCTCCTCTGGCCCCTGCCTTGCACGACCCCCTCACCTGGTAGGCTTGGGCATGACCGCCTTGCCCCCAGGCCCTGGAAGCCTGGAGGACAGCCTAGAGGAGGTGCCTTAAACAGATTAAGAGTTTTCAAGGGACCAGAAGTACACAACAGTTGCCGTTGACTGGCCCATGACTCAGTTTCCCCAAGCTGTGGCAGCTGCGTGTTCCCTCCCGCTCCACGTCCTGGTCCCTGTGTGTTGGGGGGACCCCTCAGGACCCCATGATGTTATCCCGCGGCACCGGTTGGCAGGAGGCTGCATGGAGGCCCTGGGAGGGGAGCGGCTCACCGCCGGGAGAATGTAAACCCAGCGTCCTGATTCCTGGGAAGCTCTGCCCACGTGACCCAAAATCAACACCGGGACTGACGTCTGCAGTGGGATCCAACGCAGGAGCTGCCCCTGACCTCCGCGGCTTCCCGGAGCCCTGCTGGAGTCTGGGGGAAAGGGCAGACCCGTTCGGTGCACAGCAAACATTGAGCCAGGACAACAAACCTGCCCTTCGTGCACCGGGGGTACACGGGCGCTTGGCGGGTGGGCTGGGATGGTGGGGTCTCCTGCACTGGGGAGTCGGGGCTGGGGGTCCCTCGGGCGCACCCTGACCCCAGGCCCCGGTCCGGGTACCGTACGCGTGTTCCTTCCAGAGCTTTAAGACCACAGGGCACTGGCCCTGGAAGGCTCCCTGGCCTTCCCCCCGCCGGCCAGGGGCCCTGAGCCAGAGCGGTGACCTCTGCTTTGCAGTTGCTGTCACCAGTTGCAGTAACAGGGCACCAGGTGAGGGCATCTGAGGGAAAGGGCCAGCCACCGGCTTCCTCTCTCCTGCCCTCTTCCGTTCCGGGGCGGAGGCGAGGGCGGGGAGAATGGGGAAACGGTGGTAAACACTGGTGGCCTTGGACACGTCCCAGCTCTGGCTCTGGCTGGCAGTGTCACCTGAAGTGACACTCCAATCTGTGCCATGGGGTGATAATGTCCCGGCTGGGGCCTGGCGAGGGTGAAATGAAATAGCCCAGCCTGGCGCAGACCCGCCTTCCAACAGGGCTGAACACTCACGCGCCGGCCCGTGCGCCGAGCCTCAGTTTCCCTAGCTGTAAGGTGGGCACAAACACCGCACCGTCTCAGGAGGGCAGGTGGGAAGATCCAGGGAGATGATGCATGTAAGGCAGCGGGACCACAGCGGGGACCGCGAGGACAGCAGCTCTCATTTATTTTTCTCCCTATGCACGCAGCAGGTGCCTTCCTGGATGGCCACCCTCCCTCTCCTCAGACACCTCAGCAAAGTCTCAGCAAAGGCCCCGGGATCTCTCCTGAGACAAGGTGTCCAGAGGGAAAACCGTGGGCGCGCAGAGATGTCGCCGTACGGATGCTCCTTCGGGGAGGTTGTTTATCATTGCGAAAAAACAGGAACAAACCTAAATGCCCAACAGTAGGGGATCGCTTCAAGGAACTGCAGTCCCTCCCAGAAGGGATGCTTTATTGACATGCAGTGTGTGCCACCTGCGGTCCCACTTGGCGGTAGTGACGGATGTGTGTCGCGTGCACGTGCATCTGTGTCTAGGAAATGTCCTGAAAAATACGCCATCAAATGGCAACAGCTGGGGCTTCTCGAAGTGCAGGCCATTAAAACAACTCTCCTCATGGCTTCTCTCGATCTGTCAGTTTTTCTACAATGATTATGCGTTTTTTGTGCCGCAAGGACTTGAGATAGGTGGAGATTTTTGGTAACGCTTGCCTCAGGGTGGGAGGGCGGGCAGGCCAACGCAGGGCCAACCTCCCTCCCGGCTGGGTGGGCACGTTGGTCGGAGAAGGTGGAGTCCTTCTGAGCGGCCAGAGCCTGGCTTGGATTGGGGGAGGCATCTGTACTTCCACCACTTTTTCTAGGCCCACAAATACTGTACCACCCCCCCCACCCCCGTCCCCCACCCCCGCCCGCCAGCGGCAGTTCAGTGCCAGGTGCGGTGGTAGAGGGAAGGGCTCTATGCCAGGCCCTGCCCGTTGTGGGGCGGACAGCTCTGTCTGCAGCCCTCCCTCCGAGACCCAGGGCAGACCCTGCGCAAGTCAGCGGTGGGCCCTTCCCAGGAGAGAGCCAGGCATCTGGGAATGAGGTTGCCCCCATTGTACGCCCAGGGGGCCGGGCCCAGAGAGGCCCTGCTGCCGACCTGAGATCGTCAGCCAAAGGGACCGGAAGTGGGGACAGGGGTCAGGCCGGCCCCAAGCCCTGCCTCCTTCCACGCGTCGCTTTGCTTCTCTGCAGTGGTGGCTGGACCGAGTGCTCGGCAGGAAGAGGAGCTGGGTGTGAGGCCGGAGCATGGACGAGGAGGGCCTCAGGGGAGCCCGGGCGGGACGGGGCAGGCTTGGCCACTGGGGCGGGGAACCTGGCCCCTGGCCAGGCCTCATGGCACCTCTGCTGTGCACAGGGCAAGGAGGAACTGCCGCCGCTGCTCCAGACTGAGAAGGTGCGAGTGGGGCCCACCACAGCCTCTGGGACCCAGAGCAGTGCAGCTCCCGGCAAAGGGGGCGGGGGGCGCGCGCACGGGCTGAACTGACCTCATGTGAGGACGAGGGCACAGCCCCTCAGAGCAAGGCGGACAGAGGACCAGCCCTCCTGTCCACGCAGGGCCAACATTCCACGTGGGGGGCCTGGACGGGGAGAAGCTGAAACCACCCCGCACCCTCTGCTGGGGGCCCGCAGCCCCAGCCCCCCGGCACCCCGCCTCCTCCACCAGCCATCCTGGGTCCTTCCCTGGGACCCCCGACCTTCCCACACAGCTGAGGGGCTCTGCACCCAGCCTGGATCAGCTCCAGTCGGTCACCCCTGTCCACCCCTCACCCCAATGCCTTGATGTCACACAAGCCCCGCCACCTCCCCACCCTGCCCAGGGCTTTGCTGTAAATGGCGGCGCTTGGCAGGGAGCGAGAATGCCCTCAAATGGGGAAAACCTGAGTCAACTGACCCCCGCCCTTCCTGAGGAACCTGGATCAAGTTCCCCCCGTGGGGCGAGACAGGGCTTGAGATGGAGACGAGATTCGAAGGGAGGGAAAGAATGAATGTGACTTTTTCGGCCGTTCTGAAGTTTTGCTGGAGTTTTCCTGCCCTGGCTCCCCAGGAAGCTGAACGCCAGGGAGCCCGGGAGCGAGGCTCTGCCCACGCTCCGGTTGAGGACCGGCTCCAGCCGCTGCCCAGATGACAGGAAGACGGCAGGCACATGATGGATGTGGCTCTGACCATCTCAAAGCCGCTCCCCCGCACGGGGGCAGAGCCCAGAGGTGGCTGGGCTGCCGCAGAGCCAGGGCTCTGGGCTGCCGCAGAGCAGCGGCAGACGTCATCCGTCCTCAGCCGCGGCAGCAAGAGCACGTCCGCTGGCGGACACCTGCCGCGTCCCCGCACGGACGCTGCTTCCCCGGGGGGCTCGCTGGCCTGCACCTGCTCACGCAGCCCGGCCCCCAGGTGCTGGGGGAGGCGCTGTGTGAATCAGCCAGGCGAGCCAGCCCCGGTGGCGGAACCTTCCTCCGGGCGAAGCAATTTGCAGCAAAATATGCTGTAAATATTTGTTCAGCCCGGGAAAACGACTTTAATTGCATAATTAAACGCGTTGTCGATTATGCTTCTGGACACAGCGACGGGGGAGAAGCTGGGACCACAGCTGTCCCTCTGAGTTTGTTGATTCAAG